CTGTTGTCTGTGATCTAATATGTATAAATTTTTATTTATATTCCACTCTATCTCCCCGAAGGGACTCATGGTGAAATTCCAAACATAAAAGGCAAACATTCAATGCCCAAATACAACAACAATACATGCATACAAACAAAATTTATACAACCCAACATATAAACATGAATTATAACTTAACAAACTAAAATAAAATTAAAAAACAGCCTGTTATAGCAGACATAAGACAAAACATCAAACATTGAATGAAAACAATAATTTCCCATTTCCTTGGGGCAAATCGATTAATCATTGCTCAAGATATCTGTTGAGCTGGTGGGGTGGCCAGGGCACAGATACGGATGGCAACTATTAATCAGAGGTATAATGGTGGTATTACTAGCTCTTATTCCTCCTCCTCATAAGCCAGTGAGTAAAGGTATGTCTTCAGCTGTTTCTTGAAAAGAGGGAGGGAGGGGGCCATTTTAAATGTAGGGTGGTTCTACATAGGCACTTAAATCAAAATAGAAAGTGAATAAAGAAAACCGGTTCACTGTAGAGCGCCTGCACAAGAACCCAGGAACTGGTATTAAACTGAGGTGGTGGTCACTGTATCCACCGAATGCAGCTTAGAACTGAATCCAGGAACTACAGTATTTGTGACAAGACAGCGGTGAGAAAATGCGGCAGCGGTGGGTGGGTCTTAGCCAGTCTGCTGAAATGTGCTGATGTGCATAATATCCATGCTTGTTCAGAATCACCCCCATTTTGAGCCCTCCATGGGACATACTTTGATTGACTGCAGCACATATTCTGGCTTATTCAAGACTTTTTGGTGAGTTTTTTAAACGTGATTGTGGGCTTAATGTGTGCTACAGTGTACATTGAAGGTGCACATTCAGTCCAGGATACTTGAAACATTGTGTCCTACCCTAGAAGCTGGGTAGATAATTGAGATCGAGTAATGGAACACTCCTCTCCACTCAGCTCAGGAACAGCCGCCACTTGAAATTGGCTAGAGATGGCACATTCTCGGGTGTGGCACCAAAACTTTGGAACGCTTTACCAGAAGCGATAAGAGCAGCCCCCCTCCTTTTGACCTTTAGGGAAAACTTTCATGTGTAGAATAGCTTTTAGATGCCTACTATCTGCACTTTATAATCACATTTTACCTCCCTAAGTATTTTAGACTGTTTAATTAAGTTTGGGATTGGGATAATTTTAATGGGTTAGTTTATATTGTTATGTTTTAACAATGGTTATAAACCGCCTTGAGTCCTTGGAGAAAGGCAATATAGAAATGTCCCAAATAAATAAATACATTATGTAGACATCCTGACCGTGAGACAGCTTCAAACTGCATTATAGTGCCTGTGTGGATTTGCCCACAGATAAAGGTTTTCTTTTTTTTTATTATCCCACTGAAAATGTTAATTAACTTGCCAATGCAAGGATATTCATGTTATTATCAACAGTATTGTGTAGGTGGTCATTTTTAAAGCTTTAGTTTCATTACTAGAATCTATGTTTTTCATTTCATTCCATTTCTCTTTGACCCCGCTGCTTACATTTTCACCAGAAAATGTCACCAGAGTTTGCATCAGAAGAGTTCCTTCTTTGCAATCCAAGGGGTTCAGAACTTTCATCGGCATCACTGGGCTTGGGTTCTGTTGATCGAGCCCAGGAAGGTGGATTCTCTTCTGGGTTCCAAAGATACTGGAGGCCATCTTGTTCCTTCTGCCTCCTTGCTGATCCTTTGGTAAATCAAATCCCAAGTTAAAATTGGAGCCACCACCTGGTGTACGAAGAACCCTGGAGCTGCTCCATCTGCTGGGGTCCATCCCCTTGAACGTGGTCATGGTCGTCATGGCGGTGTGTGAAGTAACTGCCCGAGTGAGAGAGAGGCTGCCGGAAGACGATATTCCCGCACTTCCTTCTCCAGCTGCTGTCGGCGACAACTGCAGGACAATTCTAAACACCATACCACATTTCCAATCCCATTATTCCACAAAATAAAATGGTAACAGTTAAAGTGGTATAATGCTGCTATGGTCATGCATGACACATAGAGTCTCAGATTCTTGGCTACCTTCATGATAAAAAATTGGGAGAGAAATGTAAGGTCCAACTCAATTTTTAAGCGGATCTGTGCAGATTTAATGTACTCTCATATTTTCCTCTGACAATAGAATTTGAGCTGTGTGATACACCGAGTTACTTCTTAGCTGGATTAATTAGAAACTCGAGGCATTATTTAGCATATGCATTAGTCTTTCATTGCCTCTTTTTAATATCCTAATATCTCAGTGTAGGAGAGAACAGAGCTTTGTCAAAGACGTGACAGCTTAATGTGGGACTAATCCTATTAGGTGTTAGCTGAAATATTCTACCTGTAATGTTTTTCAAGAGGATAACTGAATCATAGGGCTGCTTGGAGGAAAAGGTATCCCTTTCCATCTTAGCCATAGAGTGTTGCTATCCAGTACCTGCCATTCCCAAATGCACCTGATCCATATCAGTGTATCACACAAGGAGCACAAAGTGCCCCAAAAACTATTTTATTTGCATTTAATAGAACTAGATAGTTAAAACACAATATAATTTGTAGTGTATGTGTGTGTGTATATATACATACACACACACACACACAGTCACTAAGCCAGACCATGTGGCATAAGGATTTCATCTGTCTCTTTCTCTCTGTGTGTGCATTTGTCTGTCTTTGTTTGTATAATACTAGCTTCCATGGCACTGTGATAAAAAGAAGCCATTATTCAAGAGAAGGGGGATTTGGTTATTACTGTTATTATTGAAATTGCTTTTTTTTTGGAAAACATGCTTGGTTGTAGCACTTCCAGTATTTATCTTAAGAGCCCTTGCCTGTTGAAGAGACCACATTCTCATCTTTATTAAAGACACAGAAAAGCTCTTAATACACATGTGAGTCATCAAGTTCCCCAACAAAGCAGAGAAAACAAGTCATAATATTCCTGATTTTTTTTTACAGTACAGTGAAATAAAATTCCCACTCTTTGCTTAAGATGCAGGGTGGGAGATCACATCACTAAACTTCCTGCAAATATAACAAACAAAGCATGAAAACTTATTTATATACTTATTCGTTTTAGCTTTTATTTATTAATTCCTACATTGGGATATTCTGGAGTAATAAACTTTGTTGTAATAATAAATATTATTATCATGAAACACTGTAAAATTCAGAATAGATGGGGAGGGAGGAATTACTTGTGGATAATTATTTCTTCTTTAAATAATGTTGTCAAATAGGAGGTTGCCGTTTGTAACTGTGGCTATGAGAAGAAGGGAAACACAACATTCTTGGTTAGTAGAAGGGTTGGACCTGTGACTTTGTTATTCTGCACTGCTATTTTCTGAGGAATTATCAGATTTTCCATCCCTGGAGACCTTGAGAGTGGTGAAAATTGTAGAAGCAGTCACAAAATGATTGTACACTGAGGTGGAGTTTGATGTTACCAGCCAACAATTACTACCATAACTTTATATTCGGTTTCTGTGGGTTTTTCGGGCTTTGTGGCCATGTTCCAATAGCATTGTCTCCTGATGTTTTGCCTACATCTCTGGCTGACATCTTCAGAGATTCCATTGACAGTGAAGCAAGTACAATATGTATATACCTTGTGTAATGTCCAGGGTGGGAGAAGGAGAAGCTGCAAAGTCAACCAGTGAAGGAATTTGCCAAGAGGTAGCCTGGGCTTTGTTGCCTGGAGGCATCCTCTGTTTGGGAGGTGTTAACTGGCACTTGATTGTTTCCTGTTGGGAGTTCTCCTGTTTCTGAGTAGTGCTCCTCATTTACTGTCTTGATTCTGGTGTTTCTTAATACTGGTAACCAGATTTTGTTCATTTTCATAGTTTCCTCTTTTCTGTTGAAGAGAAGAAATGATGGCCCTGTATAAATATGTGAGGGGAAGTCATAGGGGGGAGGATGCAAGCTTGTTTTCTGCTGCCCTGAAGACTGGAACACAGAACAATAGGTTCAAACTGCAGGAAAGGAGATTCCATTTGAACATTAGGAAGAACTTCCTGACTGTGAGAGCTGTTCATCAATGAAGCACTCTGTCCTAGAGTGTGGTGGAGGCTCCTTCTCTGGAGAGGCTGAGTGGCCATCTGTCAGGGGTTCTTTGAATGTGATTTTCCTGCTTCTTGGCAGGGGGTTGGACTGGATGGCCCACAAGGTCTCTTCCAACTTTATGATTCTATAATTCTATGAGTCCTGTAGAAATATTCTGGTGGTAAGTACCCACCTTTCTTGACCGGATGCCTTCATGAGTTTTTCTGTAGCAAAACTGGCATTTATGCCATCCGATATGGCCAGTGATTGTGTGTGATGTAATTTGTAGTCCAAAACTTCTGAAGGACACCACATTGGGGATTGAGTGCTTGTTGTTGCTATTGTTATGGGTGGATTCATAACCTGTCAGGTGTTATTGATGGGAGTTTGGGATCATTGAATCAGATAATGTGGCACAACTAAGCATTTTGTAATTGTGAAGCTCTCCACGGCAGTTTCATTCAGATGCTTTGTTGGTTCCATTTGGAATTGCTTTTAGAGTCCCTATTACTCCCGCATCCGTGATTGTTGTAGTAGTTATTGTTATGAGTTCTTTTTTTATCTGTTCTACATACTAAGATAATAACAAAAACTTCTATGGAATATCCAAGTCACATCTTTGGCAACTATTTTCTAGTTATGAGACATTGAGATCCATGATAGAGAGCTACATGGTTTGAAGAGACATACAAAATGTAGATAGTATTATAAATTGCCGATAGATATAAATCCAATTAATGTAAACTTGTAAATCAAAACTTTAAAATGCATTTGGTTTATAAGAAATGGTATCATATTCTACAAGAAATCTATGGGAGAGGCAACCCATGTGAGAAAATTGAAATTCCCCCAAATAATTTTGAAGTGAAGCTGCTCATAGTAGGGTAGGTAGTTCTTGTATATTAATATTTCTTATCTTTCTTTTTAACAGTGACTGGTACAAACCTATCTACATGTATAAAGTGTGGCAAAGAACACTGGAAGGTGGCTAAAAGTCAGTCATGTCTCCAGTTTGGCATACCATTTCAACTCTTAATGTGAACTACAAGCAACTGGCATGTCTTTTGGTCTTCACCATAAATATGTGTCTAAGTGCCCCTGGGATGTGTCCTCCAGCTTGCATTTGTGCTAGTGACATTGTAAGCTGCACCAGCAAGAACCTTTCCAGAGTGCCAACAACACTCTTCAAGCACATAAAGAGACTGGATCTCAGCCACAACCGCATTGGGATTTTGGATCATGACTGGATGCCCGTCCTGCTTGAGAAGATGACCACCCTCATTGTCAGTCATAACAGCATCGCTTTGATTTCTCCAGGAAGCTTTTCTATGATGACAAATGTGAAGTACCTAGACCTATCATCCAACAACCTGAGGTCACTGGGCGGTCCTGTCTTCCAGGAACTGCGGGTGCTAGAGGTACTGCTGCTTTATAACAATCATATTGCACAGGTTGATTCGGCTGCTTTTGGAGGGATCCACAAATTGCAGAAACTCTACTTGAGCTACAATGCTCTCACTCACTTCCCAATAGATTTGTACATTGGGAAGTATAAGCTTGCCGAACTTGTGCTCTTAGACATTTCTTACAATCGAATCAAGTCGATACCTATTAACTTTATGAGCTTAGTGCCAGCCAGGCATCTGAGTGGAATTTATCTTCATGGGAATCCATTTTATTGTGACTGTACTCTTTACTCCATGCTAAACTTCTGGTACCTTCGACATTTTAGCTCTGTGGAGGATTTCAAAGCTGAGTATACATGTGTTCTGCGGTCAGATCACAGAACAGCCAACAAACTGCCTTTATTGCATGACAACTATTTGAATTGCTCAGAAAGCACCATAAATGGCTCTTTCTATGCATTTGGGTTCATTCACGAAGCCCAGCTAGGAGAGAGATTGATAGTGCCATGTGACACAAAAATTAGTGATGTGGGCACCCAGTTCATCTGGATCAGTCCAAACAACCAAACTCTGGAACCTGACATGACCACTGAACACTTCAGAGTGTTCCAAAATGGGAGTCTGGAGATAGACGAGGCCCAATATGAGGATGCTGGACTTTATTCCTGTATTGCAATAAACAAGAAAAGACTCTTGAATGAGACAATTGAGGTGAGGATAAATGTAAGCAATTTCACCGTGGACAGGTCTCACTCGTATGAGACATTTAACACTGCTTTCACTACGCTTGCAGCTTGTATAGCCAGTATGATTTTGGTACTTCTTTACCTCTACCTGACACCATGCCCTTGCCGATGCAAGTCACAGAGGAAAAAAAGGCAGCTGGACCAAAGTAACATGCCTCATGCCTCCATATTGACCACCAATTCACCCCTTGAACTTTCAGGTGATGAAAAGAAAGCAAGCAGTGGCAAAAGGGTTGTGTTTCTTGAACCCGTGAAGGAGCCAAAGCCGGGACAGAATGGGAAAATAAAGATGTTTCCCAATGAGAACCTCATTGCAGAAAGTATCCTTAAAAACCCTCGAACCAAATCCGAATCAGATTCTGTGAATTCGGTGTTTTCAGACACACCTTTCGTGACATCTTCCTAGTTTCCTGCCTGTATTCATGTCATGTGATGAACTCAGAAGCTTCTCTGTATTTAGCTACTCTAAAAAAGAGATGGTGGGGTTTTTTAAAAAAAAGTCAAGGTGTGAAATGAAAAGTGACTGTAATTATGCTCAGGTTTTTTTCCTCTCAAAGTGAAAGGTGAAAACATAACCAGTAATCTGTAAGAGTGATGCTAAATCTGGGAAGGAGCCCATTGTTCCATGACTGTTGCTGCTCTCGAATATAAAGCAGTTGCATTATGGTATACACTGCTTTTATTTCAGTCTCTCTGCTTAAAGGAGGGTAAGGGGGTCATATTTGTGCACTGCTCCCATTCATGACAGTGTCAGAAAACTTTCCATCCAATTTGATCATTAGCTGCTCTCCCTGTCTAGAACTGGAATTGTTATAATATCAGGGATTACAAAAGAAATCGGGCTTCCTCCTGGAGTTTAGAAGTGTTGAGATAAATAGCCATTTATTCAGCTTCTGGTTTTTGCCTGGAAGCACTGTGCACATTAAAAAAAGAAGATGAAGCTATACAAACCAGACTATTCCAAAATAAGTTTTTACATACATTTTGAAATTGGATTTGGGGATATTTCCCCCTTTTGTATCCTGGAATATTAATAGCCAGAAAAGCATATAAGATTACTTGGTCTAAGAAAGCTTTTACTGATTGTAAGCCTTGCCAGACAACTTTCTACCCAATATTGTGATCTGTAAACTATTTAAGACTCAGAAATTTATATTCTGAAAGAAAGAGCTCATTTTGATCCTATTGAGAAGTCTGAAGCAGAGAGATATTCAACAGGTATGGTTTACCTACCAGTACAAGGATGAGAGAAGCTACACCTTTGGGATTTCTGTCTTTCTTCATCATTCTTCAAGGGACAACAGCCATGTTGGTTCTGGAATGTGGCCTATCTGTTTGTACTAAAATATGCGTGTCAGTATGTGTGTGAATTGTGGCTTGCATAGAAAATATCTTGAGAAAACAGAGTTAGTTTTGTAAGCAAAGCAGCCAGAATTTGTACAATTAGATGTTTTTAATAAGAACTATTGCACTTTGAATACTTAAGTTGACCTAATGAGAGCCATAATGGAAACCGTACAGCCCAAATTGACTAACCTTGCTGCAGCCATTCCTCCTCATTATCAGCAATGAAATGGCTTGTGTGTCTGGACTTCCCTAGCTGACAGTGGAAGTTGGTTGCATGCAATTTGCTGAACTGCAGCCTTATTTAATAGATTTGAAATAAATTCGGCTCATTTTTCATTGTACCAGCAGCATTAAAATGGCAGTGATTTGATTTCATGAAAAAATGTGTTTTGTGGTTTTAATGCTGAAAGAATAATTGAGCTACTTATCTCTGGATTCATCAGCTTTGAGAATGTTATTTTCCTGTAAGAAGACTCAAAATTTGTAGGACTAGGCTTTCATGATAAAATGCATTTTCAGGCATATGTTTTAGCATACTTTGTATTACAAACTGAAGTACTTTTTTTGTTCCTGAAAACAAAGTTTTCAGTGTGCTTAGTTTCGCTTCTACTAGTCACACTCCAATCAAAGAGATATATATTGTTGCAGTGGCACACATATTGGTGTGTTGTCATGGCTTTAAAGGTATCCTGCACTTAGAGATAAGGAGGGGAGCTTGCTGTAATGTGTTATTTGTCGGTTACAGTTGTTGTATAGAGAGGGCTATACTAAATAATAATCCTACAAAGTATGTGTCCAGATTTTTTTAGTCCTACAAATCCCAACCACCCTTGGCAATATAGCCAATGGGGGGGGGGGGGAGTGGCAGTCTAAAACAGCGTTTCTCAACCTGGGGTAACGAGGGGGTGTCAGAGGGTTTGCCAAAGACCATCAGAAAGCACAGTATTTTCTTTTGGTCATGGGGGATCTGTGTYGGAAGTTTAGCCCAATTCTCTAGTTGGTGGAGTTAAGAATGCTCTTTGATTGTAGGTGAAATATAAATCCCAACAACTACAACTCCCAAATATCAAGGTCTATTTCCCCCAAACTCCACCAGTGTTCATGTTTGGGCATATTGAGTATCCATACCAAGTTTGGTCCAGATCCATCATTGTTTGAGTCCACAATACTCTCTGGATATAGGTGAACTACAACTCCCAAACGCAAGGACAATTCCCACCAGGCCCTTCCAGTATTTTCTGTTGGTCATGGGAGTTCTGTGTGCCAAGTTTGGTTCAATTCCATTGTTGGTGGAGTTAAGAATGCTCTTTGATTGTAGGTTAATTATATATCCCAGCAACTACAACTCTCAAATGACAAAATCATTCCCCTCCCCCCAATCCCACCAGTATTCAGATTTGGGCGTATTGGGTATTTGTACCAAATTTGGTCTATTGAATGAAAATACATACTGCATATCAGATATTTACATTACAATTCATAAAAGTAGCAACATTAAATGTGAAAATGAAAATAATGTTATGGTTGGGAGTCACTACAACATGAGGAATTGTATTAAAGGGTCCCGGCATTAGGAAGGTTGAGAAACACTGGTCTAAAAGAACCTAGATGACTATACCTTCCCCAGTCTTTACATACAGTTCTGTATGATGGGCTTCAAGGAATGAGGTTTGAACAGCTTGGTCCTTGGTCTAGCGCATTCCTCCTCCATCCTCTCACTTGTGGCAGTTCCACAAGCCTTGGATCCTGGATCACCACTGTTTCAAGAGCCATGCCTTGCTGATATCCACAAGTCTGATTTCATTCAAGCCCTTGAAGCTAATGCAGTAGTCCAAATGATCGAGGCCTGCCTGTCCACAAACATTTTAGGATTATTATAATTAAAATGGCAACTCTTTGTAGTCAATTTAGACCTGACTTCCATTTCTTAGTTCCAGTTGTTCATCTCTTACAAATAAGAAGTGTTTCTGTCATGGAGGTCTTAGTTAGCAGCTAACATTAAGAGATGCAATAGGGCAGCTTACAGTTCTACCATCTCTGCTCCTTGGGATTCCATGTGATCTCCATATTGCTCCTGATTAATAAAGTATCTTGAATTAAACTTTTGATGCATTGCAGTGTCTGTTTTGGTGAATTATCAATGGATTTAGTGGAAGTTGAAAGAAACAGCTGCTCAGCTATTCAGAATTCCTATACTGCATCTTTTTGCATCCAACACACTAGTGTCTCATGGTGCATCTGCATTGTATAACTAATATGTTCAAAACCACTTTAACTACCATGGCTCAATTCTATGGAATACTGAGAGTTGTTTTTTGGTGAGGCACCAGTAATCTTTGGCAGAAAATGCAAAACAAATGTAAAATTACAATTCCCATGATTCCATAGCATTGGGCCATAGCAGTTAAAGTGTCGAACTATACCAATTCTACAGTGCCGATGCATCCTTGGTCATGGGGTTCTAAGTAAATTTCGTAAACTGTCACAGAAGTTAGATCCCATCATGACCTGAGCTGAAATGTTCAATCTCAACATTACATGCCAATCACACTTTGCCATAATGATTGTAAATAAATTGAAAAAGAAGGAGTTACAAGTGCATAAAGCAACAATTAACATGTCTGGGAGCAATTCCAGCAACCCAAAAAGGCCAAATGCCCAGTTTAAAATGCATTAGAAGGTCATCCATTAGTAAGTGGGCAAATTGGATTTTTCTTGGCAATGAGTTCTGGAATCTGGATATGATCAGAGACACTCTTGTGTCCCAGCCAAGCACAATTCAAATTTAGATGAGATGTGCAGATGAGCCTGTGTAGTCAATTAGTTTGTATTGGAGAAGGTGGTGTCTAAATGAATTCCCCCTACATTTCATAAGAGTAATACTTTGGCAAAGATTCAGCATGGGAGAAAGATTTTCCATGTGTCAATCTACCTCCCTATTTATGCTAAACAATGCTTGCCAATGGAGGGGAGTCCTGACAGCAAATTATACACACAATCAGGTGGGTCCAAATGTGAACTATTGGATTGTGTCTGTAACCTAGTGGAGCAGAATTAATCCCATCACAACCTCCCCAAAAATGGAATAAACTGGACTTATGCATGCCTTTTACTAACAGGATGCCATCCATTATTTCATTTTTGATCATCCAATTTGGCATATAATCCTCTTGTTCCGGAGATCGTTCCCCTACTTTAAGGGCTGATGTCAACGCTCAGTCCACATTTCAAGATTATCCATGTCTCTGTTCCTTCCTTCTTAGGCATAAAGAGACTGAAAGAAGGCCTTTTGTGCCATGTCACCTTTTCTGTGAAATTCTTTACACATATGAACTCTTTAGGTAACAACATATTACTACCTTTTACATGCCAGGCAACATATCTTATCCCACCTTACCCATGTTTTTATTCAAGTTCTCTGCATGCTTTTTCTAACATTGACTTCATTGTTTACTTAAACTAGAAATTACATAACAAAAAATACTTAAACTTTATAGCAAGCTGGTCTATAGGAACCCATACAAATACTGAAATCAGATAAATCTCAACAGTCACTGTCAGAGTTATCACTGTATTGTCAAAGGCTTTCATGGCCAGAATCACTGGGTTGCTGTGAGTTTTCCAGGCTGTATGGCCATGTTCCAGAAGCATTGTCTCCTGATGTTTCACCCATATCTATGGCAGGCCTCCTCAGAGGTTGTGAGGTCTGTTGGAAAGTAGGCAAGTAGCAGGGTGAGGCAGCATAACTTCCTTTTTTTAAAATACGCGCCATTCAGTCAGTTGAAGACGTAGCGGAGCGCTAGTGGTCTCGTTCGAGAGGCGGGAGTATAAAGTTTTGTTCTGGCACAGTTCAGTCGCCATCATGTGTTGGAACAGTGAGGAGCGTGCTTTTGCCGTTGAGGCCTACTTTTTGAGCAGATTTGGAGTGGCCGGCCCGCTCTCCAGATTTGGCCCCTTGTGATTTTTTTTCTATAGGGTTTTTTGAAATCCTGTGTTTATGTGAACCGTCCAACGACCCTACAAGATTTGAAGACCAACATCCAGGAAGAAATTGCCAACTTAACGCCTTCTATGCTGGCAAGAGTCATGACAAACACCAGAAATCGGTTTACTCAGTGTATGGAGAATGGGTAACATCACCTACCTAATTTCATCTTCAAAATTACGTAAAACAAAACTTCAGGTATTCACCTACATTATAAAAAAAATAAAAAAATTCTGATTGGTACAATGGGTTTTTATTAAGTTTTGAAAAAAAAGGAAGTTATGCTGCCTCACCCTGTACCTGTGGAATGCCTGGGGTAGGAGAAAGAACTATTGTCTGTTTGAGGCAGGTGTGAATGTTGCAGTTGGCCACCTTGATTTGCATTTAATGGCTTTGCAGCTTCAAAGCAAATGAGGTTTATATATCTGTGGAATGTCCAGAGTGAGAAACTTACCTAGTTTCCAATAGACCTTACAACCCCCGAGGATGCCTACCATAGATGTGGGTAAAACATCAGGAGCTAATGCTTCTGCAACATGGCCATACAGCCTGGAAAACTCACAGCAACCCAAAATAGAAGATTTTCATCTGTGGCCCTTTGCAAAAAGTGTTAGGTTTAGCAATTTCAATAACCTATCTTTTTCTCACTGTAAAAGTTTCAGACAATACCAGTTTTTATGCCTTATCTACCCATGTATAGTATGGCCCGTGTACACCACAAGGGATACATTCCAAGGTCACTGTAGATACCTGAAACTGCAGGTAATAGTGAACCTTTTGTTTTGAATATACTTGAGCTAGAAGTATACTACAGAATTGCACTGGAAGCTTTGAAATGTCCACAAATCTTTCCACAGAGATTAATTTTGAGGGGGCGGGGAGAGAGATCGTACGCAAGTGAAACCATTAATATTGAATCTGTGGATAAATGGTTGTACTATTGTAAGAGACCAATGACAAATTTCCAGGAACAACACGATTTCACAACCAGTGAGTGAAAATTAAATATTAAAATCTTGCCAATTGTTCTATTACATCCTGTATATTTCTTGTCATCAATAGAGAGCTTTAATTGTCTTGACATTATAATTTTGTGAACAATCCTAAACTGATCAAGGATGACAAATAATCTCAAATACATTCAAACTTTATAAAGAGATGATATTATTTTGAGAGAAAAGCAAGGAAATTTTCATTTGTTGATGAAGAAGTTCCTATTGACCTTCAGGGGAACATTAAGAAATTGTTGCTTAAGGAGTTTGGGGTTTTGCTTTTTTAATTGAAGAGGAAGGATAAAAACAATACAGGATTTACTGCTGGGTGCCATCTGTGCATGGACAAATTGGACAGTACAAGGAGGAAATGAGTTACAGTAAAGGAGGAACATCTTGTGATAAAGCATGGACAACTGGAGGTAATAGCAGTGTTTAAGTCTCAAACATTTGGCCTCTCTGCCTAATAAGCTGAAATTCTTTTAGACCGAACAGCTACCAACACTTAAGACTTTGGACACTGTGTGCCTAGCAAGTCCCAGTAGAAACCCATTTTTGGTATGTGTGGCTTATGCCTGATGAGATGTTTCTCTGACTTAGAGCAATTTTAATATACCACCAAATGAATAGGGTAGGCATAGCACATAAAAATATAGAGATGGAACGGTCACCCAGTCCAACCTCCTGACATGCAGGAATAAATAATCAGAGCAATCCCATCCAGCCATCTAGCCTCTGTTTAGAAACCTCCAGGAAAAGAGACTCCACCACACTCTGAGGCAGTACAGTAGAGTCTTGCTTATCCAACATAAATGGGCCGGCAGAACGTTGGATAAGCAAAAAGGTTGGATAATAAGGAGACATTAAGGAAAAGTCTATTAAACATCAAATTAGATTATGATTTTACAAATTAAGCACCAAAACATCATGTATTACAACAAATTGACAGAAAAAGCAGTTCAATACACAATAACATTATGTAGTAATTACTGTATTTACGAATTTAGCACCAAAACATCACAAGGTATTGATACAGCTGTGGATCTGGGTGGGAGGCAGACTACGTTGGATAATACAGAACACTGAATGAGCGAAGGTTGGATAAGTGAGACTCTACTGTGTACTGAACTATGGAACAGCTATTAACACCAGGAAGTTTTTAGTTTTTCCTAATGTTTAGGTGAAATGTAGTTTGAATCCATTGATCTGTATCCTAGTGTATGGAGCAACAGAAAACAAGCTCGATCCATCTTCAATATGACATCCTTTCAAATATTGAAACTTAGCTATGACATCCCCCTCTTAACCCTTTTTCAGGCATGTTTTGCATACCTTTTACCATTTTGCTTGTTCTTCTCTGGATACATTTCAGTTTCTCAATATCCTTGAATTGTGGTGCCCAGAACTGGACAGAATTTTTCAGGTGAGGTCTAACCCAAGCATAATTGAGTGTGAGTCACCATGAGTCCCTTCGGGTGAGAAAGGTGAGGTAGAAATGAAATAAATAAATAAATGCAATTGCACACCTGGACCTAAACATTATAGTCCTATTGATGCAATCTAAAATAGCATTAGATTTCTTAGCTGCCAGCAAAACACTGTCTGCTTATGTTCCGCTTGTGGTCTATTCAGACTACTAGGTCCCTGTCACTTGTACTGTTGTCAAACCAGGTGCCACCCATCCTATATCTGTGCATTTCATCACCCTGTCTAAATGTATTTTGTTAGTTTTGACCAGCTCCTCAATCTATTGAGGTTATTTTGGATTCTGATCCTGTCTTCTAATCCTGCTACTCCTCCAGATTTAGTGTCATTTGCAAATTTGATAAACATGCATTCTATTCCACTATCCAATTAAATTATCAAGATGTTGAATAGCACTGGACCAAGGACACATCCCTGTTGTATCCTCTCATCACTTCTCTCCCACATGGAGAGGGACCATTGAGAACTTCTTTAGGTTCAATCACTCATGAAATTACAAATTCATCTAACAGCATTTTTGGGTCTACATATAAAAAGCATGTTTGCAAGAATATTGCAGGGAATCTTGTTAAAGGCCTTACTGAAATCAAGATATGCTATCTCCACAGCATTCCATTTTCTTCATCTGCCAACATTATA